TCCCTGGGATTGCCCTTCCTGCACAGGGGCTGCCTTGAGACCTGGGGCCTGAGTGAGGCCAAAAAAAAATCCTTGAAGGAGGGAGGCATAGACTGCCCATTATCTCTGTTTAAATCTCCACTACTCTTATTGTGATCAGAAGATATATTCCCAAGAGCAGCGATTCTCAAAGTGAATGCACCCACAACCTCTCTACATTAAAAAAAATTACTCAATGTCTTCTAAAAAAGCTTTTGTTATGCGTTGTGCACACACACATATATATTTGTGCAAGCATGTACGCATATATGTGTATTAACATAAATAGCAGTTTCCATGAAAAATTTACTGAAACAGTGGCATTGGTTTTCATTTATGTCTTGTTAAAGGAAGCAGCTGAATTTTCATGTCTGCTTTTTCATTCAATCTGTTGTAATATGGTGCCATGTTTAAAGTATATGAAGAAAATTCAGCCTCACACAGATAATGTATTTGGAAAGGGGAAGATTTTGTAGAATTTTAGGTTTCAGAGATTAGGATAGAAACAAGGTTCTCTGTAGTGGGGTTGTAGCACCTCATAATATCAAATGGGGCATGTAGGTCTGGGATGTTTTAATTCTCAGACCACAACAGGAGTTACATATACAGAAAATGATTGCTACTCTGCAGTTTTCTGTATTTCTGCTTTGGCTTCATTTGTACAATATTCTGGGAATTTGACAAAGGGTAGGTGGCTGGGAATTACTGTAACAGAATTAAGTGATGCCCAGAATGTAGTGTTATTGTGGGGCTGCAGCCTGACTGTGTCTTGGGATGCCCTGAGCCTCATGTTGAAAGTATAAATCCTCAGAGAAATGGGTTTTCAGTTAGATTTAACTGACTGTAGTAGAATGGTTCTTGGGCTCATGGAAAGACTTTATTAATAATGCTTGGATGAGAGGTTCAACTTATATAGCACACTTTAGTTTGGATAAGAAAAAGAACTTTTGGTAATACCAAAGCCCATATTTCTCTCTTGCAGGCATTTGAGGGATGGTATAGATTTTATATATGTGGGGAGGGCTGTGTTACATAGTATGTTTAGAACTTCTTGGGAGGGGTCAAGGAGATCAGAACTTCATAGTTTCAGGCTAACTGCTGAAAGATTTGCCTGGTCCTCCAGTGAGATCGCCTGGATCTAGATTCTCTGAACTCACTCTGAACAATTGTGCTGAGGAGTAAAAGGATGAATGCCCAATTGCCAGGCTGCTTCCATGCTTTTAAGAAACCTTGTTATTTTATTTTTGCATTTCATTTTGTGAAACGCTGTAGTCTTTCCCAAAGCCATAAGTGGACTGGTGGGCTTATTTGCTGAAATGACTATTGTGGGGTCATTTGCATTGAGGTGAAAGGCACATAGTAATTCAGGAGGGAGAAAGGGCCTTAGAATATATAACACAATGAGAAGAAAAGTTCCTTTTGGGAAAAAGGATCTAGTAATTTAAGGTCAGTAGAGGAGTTGTAATAGATGGTTGAACAAGTTTCTGTCATTCAATTTGGGGAGAGATAAATTGAGTCACTGCAAGATAATTGAGTCATAAAGACCTACTACCTTAGAACCCCAGGCCTTTGGATTAGGGAAGGGCAGTGAGATACAGGTTGAGCTTAAATCAGAGTGTGCTACTAACTTTTGTTGTGCTCTGGCATGGAGTTATCCTTGGTGAAGTTAGAGCTGTATAACTCTATATGAGGGAGTGAGATTCATTGAAAACCTCTGATGTTCTTGATATTTAGTATAGTAATTAAAGGTTGCTTATTCTCTGAATCAACCAAGTTCCTCATGACTGCCCTAGAGGAAGCATCTTGTTACCAACCAAGAATAAAATGATCTTGCTCTGGAACTTGAAGCAGAAGGATTTAGGCTAGACATTATTCCCTAGTATCCTTCCCCCCACTACCCCTCCTACCCACAACCTCCAAGGCTTTCAGAAATTAAGAGCTATTGCTCTTTCTCACAAGATCACAACAAGGTGATGCTGTCTTTTCTAGGCAATAACTCTTGGTTTATAATCATGGACCATTAAAATTGGAAGGGATAGTTGTCTTTCTGGAGTTGGGGTTGGTATCTTGGTATGATTAGGGGTATGATGCTGGTTTGTAATGAATCTTTTCCTAAAGAAATCATTTTTTCTAAAGTATCTTTTCTATTTGGGGGTATCAAAAAGAAGTGGCTGGCAAGTAGATTTATTCCAAAGAGGAAGAAAAGAATCCTAAGGGATTGGTGCTACAGAAAATGTCTGTTACCTGCCTTTCTTATCTTCTGAGCCAGCTGGGTGGTAGTGGGCATGTGTTTCCTCTCATTTTTGTCATTCCTCTATTACTTATAGCATATTTATACAGAAATCTATACAGAAATAAATGGTTATGTATACATGAAAATGCCTGCTTTTCTTTTTTTGCCATAGATGTTTTTTTGATATTTTTAAAAATACATATTTATTTTTCTTTGATTTCAGGCTCTCCCAAAGTTTTCTAAATGGCCTTCTTTCTGATCACAGGGGTATCAATAAATATGGTTGTTTGATTTGGTTCTTGTCTTTCATGATGATACAATGATGTGCAGCCAACCTATTTTTACCTGGAATCACCTGATTTAAAGGTCAGACTTTACTTACTTTCTTCCTATTCTCAAAGCAAACAGTCTTATCTCTTTTTCAGTCTGGGGGTTGTCCCATCCTGTGGTCACTGGCCTGTGCAACCAGGAAGTAAGTATAGGCAGATCAAGAGACCACAAATGGGAGAAATCCTGCTCCATGTGGTTCTGCCTCTCTATCTGCCAGCTCTTCCATGGTGCACTGTCCCTGTGCTGGTGTGTTAGTCCCCTGTCTGTGCAGATCCTCAGAGTCACAGCACTCTGCCCTCATTTAAAGACTGGGAGCTGGTACAGTGAGTGCTTGTAGATACTCTTGATTCTGAGCTGTGATTACGTAGATACACTTCCCCCTGCTCTATAATAGCAACATATAAGGGGAGGAGGATCAACCTTGGAGAAAGGGAAACCTAGCACAGTCCTGTAGTTAAGAACCCAGTGCCTTAGGTTTGAATGCAAACGTTACCACTCACTGCTGTGTGACCACTCACAGCTGTGTCATTTTTACGGTATCTGTCCTTCACACCTTGGCCCCATGCCACCTTTCCAATCTCATCTATCACTTGCCTTCTCATTATCTACTCTCCCCCCACCACCCAACACTTGAGTTTTAACCAGATGGGACTACCTGGAAGCTTATTAAAAGGTAAAACCCCTGATCCCATCCCAGGCCTAATTACTGGAATTTGTACTTTACAAAGTGCATATTAACGTTTAAGAAGTGCAGGTCTAAGCTACTTCCTAGAACTTTGATTCCTGGAAGAAACTATGTCACAGCCCAGCCTGTGACTGCTGAGCATATGTGAATATCCTCTGGGTAAGTATGATATGCTTTGTAATTCCAAGTAGTCTTTGAGTAATTCCCAATTAAACAGTGTCCAAAATAAGAGCAACTAGCTTTCTTGGTCCCTTCATTTCCAACCCTTTGAAGTTCATTATGCTCCTTTCTCCTGATTTTCTGGGAGTTTCCATCTGAATCCAAAGAAAGTCTCCTCACCAGGGAGTAGCTTAAGTAAACTCAATCAAATGATTGCTAGGTATAATGATAGTGTTAGGTACATGGGCATAGAAATTCAAAGATGATCTGTCTCTCAGGGACCCTTTTATTTAATTGGAAAGATACAAACTATCGGAGTAAAATAATTTTATGACTAAAATATTTATATGGGTAGGCTTTTCTCATCTACCATCACTTTCTCTGAACCTTTGCAATAATTCTGCAACGTTGGTAGGAGAGGGTTATTAGCTTTAAAAAAAAAAGAAGTCAGATCCAAAGATTAAGGGATTTATCAATGTCATATGGCTGTTAACAAACTAGGATATGTGTCCATGTTTTCCAGCTTCAAGTCCACTTTTTTTCTTTTTTGAAATATTGTGCCACATTGTACCCTCTAATACTAGGGTTTTTTTTTTTCTGAGCCATCCTGCCACCTGTTGGCCTCTCAGTGGCAGCTCAGCTTGATCGAGACTCAAACCGCTGTTGCTCAGAGCTCGCACTCTTGAGTGAGTTCTTAACCAACTGAGCCACTCGGCCGGCCCTTAATACTAAATTAACTTAAAATAAAGGAAAAGCAGTATAGGATTGCAAAAGTAACTGTGGTAGTTAGGAGCGAAATCATTTGACTGAAAGTCTGAGGAAGCTTCAGTGAAAAAATGATTGAGCAGAACTTTGAACAACAAACAGAATTTATCTGGGCAGAGAAAGGGGATGGGTAATCCAAGAAGAGGGACTAGAGAAAAGCACAAAGTCTGTTCAAAGAATAATGATTAGACCAGTGTTCTTAGTCTATTTGGAATCTGTTTCAATCCAACTGAATGAAGCATCTGGACTTCCTAGGTGTGGGAATTATTGTTTCAGGTAGAGGAACCACAGTGGTTCTTTCATTTGCTTCATCCTCTTGCAAAAAATCCAACGAATGGAGAGTCAGGGAGACATGACTGCAGATATCTAACTAGTGGGACCTAACGGTGGGCGTTTCTAGACCGTTTTTTATAGATGACAACATTTAGTTTATTTAAAGACATTGTATGACTTGCTTTCGATAGCTGGAAAGGGCGCCTCTCACCTTAGGAAAATATGGGTAGATGGTATGCACAATTTTTCACAGAAAACTCGTGAATTCAAAAAGTGGTCGAGATCAAGATCAATGATAAGTGTGAGCATAAGAGCAGGGAACGACAAAACCCTCACGATTATAAAGGTTGGTTCTTCCATACCGTCTTCCATAGGCATGGAAGATCTAGATTGGTTTAGACCTAGAAGGCAGTGGCCTGATAGGTTATTTAAAAGTTAAAAAAAAAAAAAAGCCCTTTCAAGGGTGGGATCTGCCAGCCCTCCTACCTACTAGGCCCTGAAAAGCTCGGCTAGGCCCGCCTTTGTGACGTGGCCCAGGCGGCCTCGGCCTTAGGTCATATAGCAGGGTGGGTGCGGCCCCAGACGAGCGGCCCCGCGGAGTGGGGAGCAGGGCCATGGCCGAGGCGGCCCAACCCAGTGGCGAATCCCGAGGCGCGGAAGTGCAAACCCAGCAGCCCACGGAAAAATCTCTCCGGCGACCGCCGAGGCGGAGCCCGCGCTCCGTGCTGAAAGTGTCCCAGGTATTGCTCAGAGCCATCACCGCGCACAAAGGGCTGACTCTGGCCGCTCTCAAGAAGGAGCTGGGAAACGCTGGCTACCAAGTGCGCAGGAAGCGCTGCCGCCACTCGGGCGAAGCGCCCAAGTCTGATATTAAGGGCACACTCATCCGGGTCAGCGGCAGCGACGCCGACGGCTATTTCAAGGTTTGGAAGATTCCGAGGCCGAAGAGAAAGCCTGGACGCCCAAGGCTGGAGGCGGGCGTCCGCTCCCGGAGGAGGAGCCCTGCAGGGCCGCGGGGCCCACGGAAGCCCCGAGTTCGTCGCAGGGCAACCAAGAAGGCCAGGGAAGTACGGGGACGGAGCGCGAGGGCGAATGCCACGGCGAGAAGGCCAAGGCCAAGAGCCAAGGACCCGGTGCGTTCCAGAGCCAAGCAGGAAAAGAGGGCCAAGACGATGGACGAGGGGAGAGGCCGGACCACGAAGGAAGACAGGCCTACGACCCGAGAGGAGAAGCAGCCAAGGGAAGAGAAGCATGGCCCTGAGAAGCTGGTAAAACGGACCATCAAGAAGTCAACCTCAGTTAAAACCGACCCAAAGGCTACGTGCACAAAGACTTGCACGAACTCTGAAAGTCCTCAGAATGCAGCCACCGGGAATCCGTAGTGTGGGAGCAGTTCCTCTTCCAACAGGCTTTTCCCCATAAGGCTCCAATTAGAGCAGCTCTCACAATTATTGCAACGGACAGGCTGGCTATTCACAAGACCTTTCCACTACCACGTTGTATCTGTTTCTTCTTTGCCGCACTTGGAAAGGGGGGGCGGGGGAGGGGGGAAGGGAGGAGGAAGAGGAGTGTTGAGGCCTATAGCAGGGGCATGTGGGGTGGAGAAAAGGGAGTTGAAATTCTTCCTGCTGCAGGACCTAGGAAAATGCCTTTCAGAAGGAAAGAAGAAAACAGGTAGAAAATCAGCAACTTCACAGAATTAGACAGAAGTGTTGAATTAATGTTAGACACCCCCAACAAATCCAAAATGAGTTTTGGGGTGAAGGGCATGTAAGGAGAGAAGTGGGGGCATCACTGGGAAAAGAGAAGAGTAGACAGCCCTTAAGCTGAATGGTCCCACTGGCCCAAAGTGTTCTTACCAGAAATTCCTTCTAGGAAAAAGTTCCTTCTCCAGAATTGATTGTAATGTAATGGGTTTGTAGTTCTTGCCCTGACTTGATAATCTTAAAAAAAAGTGGTTTATATGTTAATCATCAGTTAAATGAGAGTGTGTGTGAAGTACCTGGTACAGGGCTTGGCATAAGGTAGGTGCTCATTCCTGAGAATTAAATCTGAGTATGAATAATTCACGATGGAGTGATAATACCCTAGAACAGAAAAAAAACTACTGGATCAGAGATTCTAGTCAAAATGAGAGCAGGATTCTAGTCAAAATTCTGGTACTGTGACTGTAGCTGTTATTACATTCATGGTCTTTGCTTCTTTCCATGAAAAAAAGTTGGGGGTTGGGCTAGGATGATTTTAAGTGATTTGAGTGTCAGTAACATGATAAGAGGGACTTAACTATCATGAGATATGCTTTGATTGATAAAATTCAATAATGGAATTATCAACTGGGTAAGTACCAACTCCTAGAAAATAAACTATTAAGATTTACAGAATGCATATCACAATTATAAGTAGATGGAGAAGATTAGATAATGATTGTCTTAAAAAACATGTGTTGAGCACTATAAGGTTGGGCGATTAAATTTGCGAACTCATCCTAGAAAAAGTGCTACATACCTCATTGCTGAATATCACTATAGTCACCTTCGAAGTACTCCCCTTGGGAAGCTATGCTCCAATGCCAGCACCTAGTCCACCCTTCAAAGCAGTTTTGGAACTCTTTTTCTGGAATGGCCATCAGAGCTGTCGTCATATTACCCTTGATGTCCTGAATGTCATCAAAATGTCTTCCTTTCAATATTTCCTTTATCTTTAGCTAAAGAAAGAAGTCATTGGGGGCCAGATCAGGTGAGTAGGGAGGGTGTTCCAATACAGTTATTTGTTTACTGGCTAAAAACTCCCTCACAGACAGTGCCGTGTAAGCTGGTGCATTGTCATGATGCAAGAGCCAGGAATTGTTGGCGAAAAGTTCAGGTGGTCTAACTTTTTCATGCAGCCTTTTCAACCCTTCCAAATAGTAATCTTGGTTAACTATCCAGTTGGTACAAATTCATAATGAATAATCCCTCTGATATCAAAAAAGGTTAGCAACATCGTTGCAACAAGTTCATGAACTTAATTCGTATATACCAATTGGAGCAAATGTATGATTCATTTTATATAGTTCTGAACGCAGGGGTTAAGAACAGCATGGGAGTAGTTCTTATGCCATAGGCCATGACAGGACACAGAAATGATTCCTCAGGAGGGAAAGAGCAGAGTAGCTGATTCAGGAAAATGACTTGCTGTTTCCAGCTGAAGCCAAAGGAGTGGGGAGAAGGGAAGCACCTGGGAGATGCTTTTTATTTATGAAAAGAGGTGAGAGTAAAGGTGGGAGGTGGGAAGGTGTTAGAACAACATGCAGAGCCTTGCAGAGTATACCTGACCAAGCTTTTCCCAGGAGAGTCTGATACCTTCTGAAAGGAGACACAGGGTATGTGTATTAAAAAAAAAAAAGGATGTTAATATTCACCTTTTCACACCCTTAAATAAGAATCATTCTTTAAGCCTGTGCAAAGCTGCATAACAGCAAAATGCTTGCAGTGTATCTCATCTGTAGATGATTTGAGCTTTGAAATTCCTCCTGCTGTAATTAGGTGTATTGTGCTCTTGAATTGTCTGAATGGCAGAATGAAGCAAACAGAATCAGAATAGGGAGCCACCTGAAAAGAGGCAGTGACAAACACTATTGAACACAATTAGAACAAACTTAACAAACACCCTTACGATAGCCACATGTATTGCCTCTTTATAGTCCTGGATGTTTTTACCTAAAGTACAGATGATTTAGAATTAAAAAGCCCTGTCCCCTAAGATAGGATGGAATGGAAACTGGCAACGATTTGTTTTTCTAGATTTCCTAAGAACCATCACATTTCTGTTTGTATGATGATTTCTTCATTTAAGCAAACTTCCTTCATTCACTAGTAAATTTATCAAATTTATTGTGTCAGACCCTGACCTTATAGAGGTAATAATGGTCATTTTAGATTATTTTCCATTGCTAAACTATAGGGTGGCCGTTGTCCGATGAAATAGAAGAAATGACCTTAACTCATTGTCAGGCTTTCCAGATTATCTAGATCATAATCCTAGTTGGGTACTTCTATGGAAGGAATTCCCGAGAATAACAAATCTCATCCCTAGTGATCACTATATCTAAGTGTTTGCAGAAGGCTGGGCCCTTTGCTGGGAATAAAGATGGATAAAACATAATCCCCCCTTTTCACTGCTCACATTCTAATGGCATATTTGGGTGTTTAACTTTAGTCAGAGCAATGGGATATCCGTGACCTCAATTCTTTGCTTCCCTTTTATCTCAGCTGGCTAGCACAATGATGATCAGAAAATTGTAGTGAAAGTTAGATGCCCTCTAGCACCAAATATTCAATGGTTGTTGAAAAAAGTTAACAAAAATACAAATGGCCTTTGAAACTATGAAAAAGGTGCAATTGCACTCATAAGATAAATGCATATTAAAACAGTAAAATAGCATTTTTAATCCAAAATGTTCGAGAACCTACTCCTTGGTAAGACTGTGGGGAAACAGGCACTATACACTGCTAGTGGGAGTGTAAATCTCCACAGCCCCAATGGAGGGAATTTGCTTTCCAAATTGCAAATGCAAATATCCTTTGACCTAGCAGAACCACCTTTAGGAATTTATCTTTTAGATATTAATGTGACAAGACTTCTGACAAAGTTATTCAGTGCAACACTGCAGTTACCAAAAAAATGGAAATAATCTAAATATCATTAGGGGATTGGTTAAACTGTGAAGCTTCCATACAGTGAAATAGCACACAGCTGAAAAAGGGGAGATTCTCCATGTATTGTTATGACAAGCTCCCTAGGTAAAAAAAAAAAAATCAAGACATTGAGCATACCAATACTACCTTTTGTGTAAAATGAAGGAAAATATATCTTTGTAATTGTATGAACAAACTGTGGAAGGAGACGCACAAAAAACTAAGTGGTTCTCCATTGTGAGGGGAAGGTGATGGGAATTGCAGAAGAGACCTAGAAACGAGACTCTTTTTTTTGTATGTTTTCAAAATAAATTGTAACTTGCTCAAAAATAAGGTAGAAATTTCCACGTAATTATCAATTATAGCTTTTTCATTTATAAGGTGACTTGTCGTTTTGCATGAATTATTTCATTTCACCTTCACCTCAATTTCTTAGATCTTCGTGAAAAAACTAATGTTTAGAAAATGTACAATTTATTATTTTTTTATTTTTTATTTTTTTAGCTGATCCATCCTGCCACCTGTTGGCAGCTCAGCGGCAGCTCAGCTCAGGCCAGGCATCAAACCGCTGTTGCTCAGAGCTCAACCTCTTGAGCAAGCTCTTAACCAACCAAGCCACTCGGCTGGCCCAGAAAATGTACAATTTAAAAAAATGAAGTCAATGTTTAACTGTAAATCCAGTGCTGTCTTCACTACAGTTATAGATGTTGAATGGGGCCTCACCATCTACTCATTAACTCTATGAGACATCTTTTTTATGTAGAACAGGTCAGTTTAGAATTCATTTCTACAAAGTGCTTTAATGATTTAGAGGTTTCTTGCAGGGGAGGATGTTCCCAAACACATTGGTAGGGGGCTCTTTTCAGAACATGGGAACATCTCCATTTGTTAGTGGCCTTAAATCGACAGATCTCTCTTTCCTGTTCCTCCTCCTCTGGGAAGCTCTAACATAGAAAGGCTGTCTGGTTGGGCTGGAGGTCATACAGCCAAAACCTAAGTGCCCAGCAAGGGCAGGGAGACAGGCTGTTTAGGAAATTAATATAGGGGCACCATGTCAGGAAAGGACTTAAAAAAAAAAAAAGCCAAAGGGCTTGGAAGAGAGAAACTGAAGACTGAGGCAGTGTCAGCATGAGGCCTTAGATGAGGCTGGGAAAGGCATTGGTCTGAGAGTAAGAAGGAAGTCAGGATTTGAACAGTCCACTGGAGCTCGCTGAGGAAACAGGAGCTTCCATGAACAATCACAGCTGTTTCTTCTCCCCTTTTTACATGATCCTTTTCTCCTCCCCCTTTTGGTTAGGGGAAAGACCAGACTTGTCAAAAGTTTTACTCTTAAGTGACTAGGAGGACGTGAGAGTGAACTGCAAGAAAATAGGAAAACATATGAGGCTCGCAGGCAGGTGACAAAACAGCCTGGCTGGTGCTGGGAAAGCTGCAGAGGCAGGACAGTCCCTAAGCAGTAGGCTCGAAGCTCTTTAAGGCAACTCCCATGGAGGAAGAGCAAAGCCTTTGGGTTGCGCTCAAGGCCTGCAAAACAGAGAAGCTCCAGGCCTGGGAGGCCATGTCAGTGGGTCATAGGCTGGTGGTTTCCCCCATACCAGCTTTCTCTGTTTTCTCTCACACTATTTCTTACCCTATCTATCTTCTTGATACCCTCTGCCAGATGCCTGGCCTCTTCACCCTCAAAGGAGAGTGCGTCTGGTGGACTCAGTTCCTGTGCACCCCCTCTGGCTCCCCGCAAATCACCAGTTACTGTGAATTTGAGTAGGGGGTCAATACGTAGTCTCCACCGCCACCACAGTTTCCAGGTTCAGCACTCGAAGGGTCTCCCAAGGGCAGAGTCGGCACTTGAATGACCCTAAGACCAAGGATTCCCTTAAATTTGTGCCCTTGGCCCTCACTTGCTTGGCCTTACCCTAGGCCTAGCCCTGTTCAGCACTCTGCTGCTCTAGTCTCCAGGATGAGTTGAGCCCCCAGCTGACTAGGGAGCCACATCTGGGAGCCAGCACATCAGAGGGGAGGTAAGGAGGCATAACTTGTGGTGTCTTGAGGTGTTTCAGGAGGGGCAGCAAAGGGGCTCGCACGACTACCCCTAGAGCTGTCTGGTGTCCCCCACTCTGTTGCAGTCTTTTTGTCAGGAGAGAAGAGCTGAGAATGGAGGGATGAGTAGAGGAAATCAGTAACACAGCCAATACATCTTTTATTCAACTGACAGGACCATAAAGAGCATACTGTAAATCCCTAAGGATACAGACAAAGGTTCCCCATTGGTAATCTGTGGGAAGTTCACAGTCCATCAGAGGGAATTAAGTAAAACAATAGCTACAAACCTGGCAGGCACGAGCATCTGGGCTGGATGGCAAGTGGGCATACACCCTGAAAGCTTCCTGGAAAAGAGCACCTTGGTGTGCAGTGTCATGAGGCATGGCAGGGAAGTGGTGACAGGGGAGGGCTTGGCTGAGGAACATACTGAGTCACACTCAAATCTCCCAGGCCTGGAGCAGCCAGTGCCTGGGACATAGTAAGCACACAAAAAATGACTTGTAGAATTGAGACTGATTCTCAAGAACCACAACAGACAGGAAGGGACTGAGTATATCAAAATAGCGAAAAGTAGAAAGCCACTTTGGAAGCAACACCAAGGGAATAAGAACCTGTAGGGAATGGAGTAAAGGGCCTCGATTTGACAGTACCAGTAACATTGGCCAAGTCCCGATGTGGGGCGGTGTGTATGTGAAAAGGAGATGTACAGTGGGGAGATGGCAGCTGAGCTGCTATAGCCAAGCCAAGAATTTGAGAAAAGAAAGTGGACATACAAGGAATGAACGCTGCCTAGTAGGCTTACAGCTGACAG